CTCTCTCTCTCTCTCTCTCTCTCTCTCTCTCTCTCTCTCTCTCTCTCTCTCGCTCGCTCGCTCGCTCGCTCGCGCGCCCTTAACTCTCTCACTCCTTCTCTTTCTCACTTTCTCTCTTTTTTATATACACATACACATTATAATATGATAAAAACTTTTTCAAATGCATATTACGAGAACTGCGGACTCACACTAAGCACAACAAAGACAGAAGTTCTCTTTAAGCCTGCCCTTGTTGATACGCAGACCCTTCGGCCTTAATCAAAATACGTAAAACCAAACCAAACTAAACATTAACAATGTTGATAGCTAGCTGCAAGTATATTGACTATACTCAAATTCCTGCATGGATGAAGAAATATCTTTACGAATGAATGTATAAAGCTAGTGCATCCTTCAGAAAACTCGGAGCAATGTTTTGGACTACTGTGGCATGCATTCACACAGAGAATAAGCTGAAAGTCTACAATGCTGTGATCCTCCCAACTTAGCCGTTAGGTGCCGAAACCTGGACGGTGTATTAATGCCATGTCCAGAAGCTTAATCATGTCCATACAAAATACTTTAAGAGATTTTTGTCATCAAATGATTCGAAAAATATCAGACAGCTAAGTCATCAAAAAGGCAAATGCCGAAAGTTTGTTTTCTGAGCTCAAAAGAACACAACTACGCTGGACTGGCTATGTCGTAAAAATGCATGATTTCAGATCCCAAAGGAAGCATTCTTTTCTGAACTGGCCTCATGGATGTCTTAAGTTGGCGACCCCCCCCCCCCCCCCAAAAAAAAAAAAGAAGCGCCTCAGAAACGCCTTGAAAATGTCTCTGAAGGATTTCAATATAAATCAATTGACACGATAGAGCCTTGCTCCTAACAGTCCCAGCTAGAGAACAGCAGTCACAGTGGGCAGCAAGTTAAATTAGGCTTAAGGAATAAGAAATGCTGAAGCCAAGAGAGAAGCACACAAGCTGTTCACATCCACAAAAGGAAGTGGAGCTTTTGAATGCTTAAAATGTGGCTAACTTTTCTCTGCCAAAATTGGTTTCATCAGTCACAACATAAGCTACATGCATTCCTCTCATTCTTCTTTTTCGCTTGAGAAATGTTCTCCTCTGCTGATGTATTTGTCACTATCAGACATTGACGGACGAACAAATGTATTATTATTAAAGTTATCTATCATTATTTCCCCCTGGAAACTCAAATTGCTAAGCGCTTGGGGGCCATTAAGAGCTACTTACCTGAAGGGAAACTGAGCACTGCACGGAAAACCACATAGAAACACGATAAAAATAATTCGATTCATCTTCAGGAATCTGGATGTTTACTGTTTGCTTTTTCTGTCACTGAAACATAAAGCTGGGCTATGTATTTGTCTCAGCTTTAATTAATATGTCCGTCTCCTGCTACTGAGACAAAGCGACGTATGAATGTATTCGTCTTTGTCTCAACCTAAGCTATACAGCACTGATTATAAAAGCCCAAGCCTCTTGTCTATCGTTTGTGAGCGTTTCAAAACAAGATGAACTACTAGATTTCAAGTTCTGACAAGTATCTTATCTACACCACTATAGAACCTTTCCCGTTTACATGCGTTTTAAGGGACGGCTGCGCTGTTCTCTCAGATAAGAAGAGCTCCTTTTTTTTTCTTTTGTCTTCCTTATTTTTTGTTTAAAGTTGAACATGTGCTTTTAAGATTTAAAAAAACCTTTCACTAAGGTCAATATATTGCTCAAAGTAGTTGTATCAAAATTCAGTTTAAAAAAGGAGACTTGATTATAGATTTTAGTTCACTTAGTTCAGATCGAAATGCACCACTTAGTTATAAAAAAAATGACACAACAACAGAGTGTGTAAATTATTTCCTTTCTTTTTATCTTTTCTTTGTACTTTGGGTCAGAGGACCCGCAGTGTAGACGACCTTTCTCCACCATGAGATAACATAAAGAGTTGTGTTGAACTTGGAAAGGTTAAGGTCATGCAATCACATCTTAAGTCATACTATCATATGTGCCCATGACAATGCTAGTGATTTAACAACACTTCCAGAACATTATTTGCGGTAAAACGTGAGACTACGTATTTGAACAGAAATTTAAACCAAAAATATATAAGTATAACAATATATCAAATTTTGGGTCAAGCTCCAAAAAACAAAATTAAATTACATTATGATCAGAAGCATGTTGCTACTTTGTATTGACCGCTGGGCTTGAAACTGGGGTGCAAGACAAAGAAAACGTTGTGACTGAATCATAAAGAAATCCAACAAGATCTTTAGACACGAATTTAGTAAAACTAATTAACTATATCATACAAACACAAAATAAGAAAGATTAACAGCATTTTAAACAACCCACCACACCCCTTTTCTACACAAATGTTAGGATCACGCAGCGGCAGATATAACCAATATAGCGGCAGCAACGAATATTACTTTCAAGATCTGTAATAAATTCCTGCATGTTGTCTGAGAGATGCATTTGATGCGACATGTTGTAGGATAGCTTTATTTTTATTTTTTTCATATTGATATTATTTTATAAAAGTAATATACAATTTGGATTCTTTGTATGACTACATAATGTGTTTTCACCATTCCTGTACAGCCACAGAAAATGTCCCATAGGAACATCAAAGATGATTTTGTCTTATCTTTCTCTTAGGCGGTTGATGTTTATTATAGACTATGAGACAGTTATATTCCATGGTTGTCAAAAGTCTGTTTTGACTGAAAGTGGAAATAAACCGATTTTGTATTCTTAGGGGCAAGAGTGATGATAATATGTTGATAACTCGTTTCTACACTGTGGAGCGAACTACGAGGACTTCAAGTACTTTCAGCGGAAATGCTGACGGTGACATTGCTCGTGATTTGATGTGTCAGATCTAGCAGGTTAATCTCCTGTGGTATGCCCACATTTGCTGTGAACTGCACTTACACACACACACACACACACACACACACACATACACACACACACACACACACACACACACACACAAA